TTACAGTGATGCCTCCTATCTGGGCCTGGGTTGTGTCCTGATGCAGCATGGAAAGGTTATAGCATATGGGTCTAGACAGCTAAAGAATCATGAGAAGAACTATCCTACCCATGACTTGGAGCTTGCCGCAATCATACACGCCTTGAAAACTTGGCGCCATTATTTGTATAGAGAGACCTTTCAGATCTACACTGATCATAAGAGTTTGAAGCACATCTTCACTCAGAAGGATCTCAACATGCGTCAGAGAAGGTGGATTGAACTCCTCAAGGACTATGATTGTGACATCCTATACCATCCAGGTAAGGGCAACGTAGTAGCCGATGCCCTCAGCAGGAAAAGTGCAGGCACCTTAGCCCATTTAATGGTTTCAGAATGCAGGTCCATTGGGGCCACGCAGCAGGTCCGACTGCGAGATCTGAAGAGGGCCACATGTTTGGGCCACCTAGCAGTCCAACCCGAGTTAGTCCAAAGAATAAAGGAAGCCCAGTCAGTCGACTCCGCCCTAGTAACCCGCAAGAAGGATGCAGAACAGGTAGTGAGCTCAGAATTTCAGATCTCTGTCGACGGATTGATTCGTTTCAAGGACAGAGTGTGTGTCCCAGACGACAGTGAGTTAAAAAGAGACATCATGATGGAGTCTCATAGTTCAAGGTTTGCCATGCATCCAGAAAGTACAAAAATGTACCAAACGTGGGCATCTTTGTAATTTTCTCATTAATTATTTATTTAGCTTATAAAAAAAAAAAGAGAAGCAGCGTGGTGGCGCAGGGAACAGGAGAAGAAGAAGGAAGCAAAGACGTGCAAGTCGCGAGCGGGAAGAGATGGGTTTTCGTGATTTTTGGAGAATCTTCAGTGCGGGGATACTGATCTAAATAGCTTCGCTCCACTATAAAGAGCGAAACTCGAAACAGAGAAAGGAGGAATCCCTGAGGCCAAAGGGGCGTAGAGAGAGGGAGGAGGCCGAGAAGAGAGAGCTCATCTTCTCCATGAATTCTTCGCAAAATACTCAGAAAAATCCCCTCAAATTGTTCTTCTCATTCTTTATTTTCCTTCTACTCGCAGAACCAATTACTGGCCTCTACTATTTGACATAAGCACAAATATCACCCATATATGTATTTTCTTCAGCGCGACTCCAAGCAGCTCAGGCCATCTCTGTCACAGAAGAAGCCCTCTCTCTGCTGTCCTTAATTTCCGAGCGGCAATCATATACATTGCAGCTTATCATCACCGAGACCCAACCTTCATCGCACAGTTGATCGGAGCCGAATCACCAAAACACGAACCTCACAAGAGAGCCGCCGCACCCGAGAGCACCGCCGCCGGTACCAGTAGTGCGTTTCAGTTCCCTGGGAAAAATTCAGGGAAAATTAGGGACAGCCTGTAGGCGCACTGTGAAGCCGTGTTCGGACCCCGAAACGAGTAAGGACCCCTCACCCTATTTCCTATCACGGTATTAAAGTTCAGAAATGATAAAACGGTATTTCTTGAATCAACGAATGTGTGAAATTGCTTAAGGTCGCTAATGGAGCCCGAGTCTAGTGTGTTGACGGTTAACTATTATTTGACATATTTTACAGTTTTAAATGCAGTATGAGGTCTGATGTTTTTATTTCATTGTTTCGCGTGCATATTTTACTGTTTTATTGATTATGGGTTGAATGACTGAGAAACCGATGCTGTATGTTGTCTTGTTTGGCATAAATTACTGTTTGCTTGTTTGTATGTAAATTGATGATGCTGACTAAAGAAAAGGAGAATGAAAGATTATGTAAATTGATAATTGTATAATGTGGTCAGCCTGACTAGATATCCTGGGAGATGGTGGACGGACCGGGTCCGTAGGGAACCCTACCGGGATGGTGGTCTCTCATACCGGACGGGGTATGGAGACCTTATGTGTTTTGGCGCCCATACCGGACGGGGTATGGGGACGGCCCGTTTCACCCTCATACCGGACGGAGTAATGAGGTTTATAGTTTTGGCGCCCATACCGGACAGGATATGGGGACGGCCCTGGAATCTGGTTTCAAGTGTTAAGGGTTAACGGGTAGCAGGACCCCTATGGATCCCCATGGATACTAGTAGGCTGGTAAATGAGGAAAATATGTTGTGTAATGATTGAATTACAAAAGGCGTGATAAGTTTATATGATTTCATGATGATGATAATGTTATTGCTTTTGTATATTGTTTTATGAATTTCACCGAGGTGAGTGGATGGTAAATGATTTATTATTGGCAAAAGGATTTGTTGTAAATTATGCTCCATTGGTCTTTTTGTGTTTTCTACCCACCTTTACCTCCGTGACGGTGAAATATCGTGATGTCTTTACTGGGCTAGTGTAACTCATTCCTTATTTAATCATTTCAGATCAGGAAGACATTGTTCCCGAGCCCGTTCCGCAGGAGGACGACGAAGGGGACGCCTAAAGACTACATAACTATATTTATAGTTCTTATCTCGATTATCTCTCTTAGTTAGTTTGTAATTTCATGTTTTGAGTACGTTTTGGTTATTGTGTAAGGGATGTTAATCAAAATTTTGATTTCGCTTCCGCATTTGATATTTTTAATACACATTTCATTTTAAATTTCCGGGGCCGTTACATAATATATATTTAATTAAAATATTTTAAGGTAATTTATTGCATTTAAATAAATTATAAATAATTTATCTCTAGTAAATTCATTGGTCTCCGGTTGATTTAATTTTTAAAATTTATAAGAAAATTTTATATATATAAGACAAATAAATTCTATTGTTAAAGAAAAATGTATTTTAAATTATTTTAGTAATTTCTTAAACTGAATTCTAATAAAGCAGATAACATTTAATTATCATATAATATATGAGTAAAATAATAATTTATATACCAATGTTTATCAAAAAGAGATTATAAAGGTTGGAGGAGAAAATGTTGACTCCTCGGTGGGGTCCGAGGAGGACACTTTTGTCAATTTGAACATTTTTTGGCCAATCAGAACAATCCACGTGGAACTCATACAAATATTACATTCTCCGCGTCCGTAGGACCAAATAAACGGAGAGGAACTTTTTGTGCACATTTAGTGGGCCCCAAAGTGCATTAGAGGAGCCGCAATATCTACTACATTGGTTGCGTTTAATCTCAAATCACTTAAACGGCGCCACGTCAACACCAAACGGCGTTTCCTGATACACCGGATAATGCTCGGACGGAAAGGAATGATGTTTCGGGGCTATTCTCATAATTAACACGTAGGACCCACTTGATTGAATCACAGCCCCACATCATAAAAGTTTATTTTCCGCTTTTCTAATTTATTCTTGAGGGAAAATATGATTTTTAAGTAATATAAATTACTTGTTTCTATTCTATAAAATAACATTTTAACTATTAAATAATATAAAATCAAAATTAAAAATTTATTGACAGATATTATTTAATTATTCATTAAAGAAATTATTTAAATATAAATAAAAAATTCAGCCTGTATTTAAACAGATAAGCTACAAAAATTTGACCTTTGATAAGCAGGCAGTGTATCTGATAGTGTGCTTCGCATGTGTACGAGTAGGTATGGTTTTTCGTCACGTGAGTTCCATTAATGGCAAAATCCAGCGTGCCTAAACATTAAATAGCACGTGGAGATTATGTAAATCTGGAAAGTCTCCGTGTTAGTTTTGGGTCAAATTACAATCAAATGCAGGTGTGTGCGCGTGATTTTCTTTGGTCTCCCTTAACGGATTATGATGGGCCAGATTAGAGAAAATTAAACAAATTAATTAATCTCTTAATTTTATCTTAATATAAATATTTAAAGCAAATATAAATTATTTATGCTAATTATAATCAAGTATATTGTGCTAATTATAATCAAGTATATTGATTAACCCTGCCTAAAATCTTAACAAGCATTACTAAATAAATACATATCACAACCAATTATCTGGGCTTTACTTTTCTTTAGCACAAACAAAATATCTAGAAGATACACTCATAGATATATGTAGATATATATATATGTATGTATATATATGGGGAGGGAGCAATAGTGATGATGAAGAGTTAAGGACCACCAATCTAAACATCTGATCGAACATCCACGAGAACCATTGGAGGAAGTAGCTGCCAAACATCATCATTCTGATTTTATTGCAGTTAAGACTTCACTAAAATGGTAGGGACGATAACAGAGCTGCTCAGGTCCACCATGTCACATTCACACACAATCACACCAAAACCCATATGGAAATTTAGATCACACCATATACATATACATGTACATACATATATGTAGAAATGAATTCATCTTGTGAGCTTTTTAGCTGGTGGCTGTTCTATTACGTCACCACCAAATTCACTCACAGACCCGACCCGTTTTCTATATTTATTATCTCGTTTTCTGGTCTTCTCTGTAAATTACCCTTTTCAACGTTAATGGTGATCATTGGTCTCTGCCTTTAGTTCCAACCTCCTACTCTCTTTTCCACTTATTTATATATATCGATATCTACATACAACTTCCCTGCAGAAAACACAGAAGGCATCAGCTTTTATACATACATATATATATATAGAGAGAGAGAGAGAGAGATTGTAATGTGTGTGTGTGTATATATATAGAATGTTGATCTGTTGAATGAAACGTGTCTTTCTTGTTCATGGTCTCTTTCAGTTGCGGGTAGAGATGAGGTTATAGGTAGAGTAGAGGTATAATTCATATCACCATCTCTCTGCATAGTTTTCGCCACCTTTATTCCTGCCAAAAAGCCTTTTCCACCAATTCAGCTTCACCCAGAGACAGTGATAGATGGAGCTTTTATCATAATTAATAGTAATATATATATATATTACCAGTCAGTAACTTACTAATCCTCTAATGACAAAATTCACGTCATAATTAGGGTTTATCTCTCTCCCTCACTTCATCTTTGCTTTTCGTCTGGTAGCTTCTTTTTTTTTATATAAACAGTCTTCTTCTCCATTCCTCTATTCCTCGCGGCCTTTTCCTTTTCATCCCCAATTCTTTTTCTTCTCTTTTCCTCGGGATTCGATCCGACAACCCGACAGCTTTAGCAATTGTTTGAGTTTGTTCTTCCACTGTTTGGCTTCAATTCCCGAGGATCTCTCTCAGACCAGTTTTGTTTTTTTCCTTCTCTTGTCTTGTCGTTTTCTTGTCTGAACCACAACCTCCACTTCCCTACAGTTGAAGTAGGAGCTGGAGGATCCAGAATTGCAGACCAGAAAGGAAGGAAGATTAATTCATCACTCGACCCAGATCTGTACTGAGTTTCAAAGAGCTTGATCTGTGAGACCCTGTTCTCTTTTTCTCTGATCGATTTCCTTCTTTGTTTCATTTAACTGTATACAATTCATGTGGTTCATTTTTTTTTTCTTTTTCTTTCGATAAAAAATTATGCTTAATTCGTGGGATCAGTTGATTTGCTTCAGCTTAAAGGGTAAGGTTACTCGGGATTGAAAAGCTTGATCCGCAAGATTATTGGCTTTAAAACATCTGCCTTTTAACAATCTAACCCCTTTTTTTCTTTCTTCTTTCGGCTCAGTTACAATCTAATTCTATGTTATATGTATCTATATACACCTGTCTTTCTCGGCATCTAGTAGAGCATATATATACAGATATCTTCTACATACCCATACCCTTTAATCTTCTCCTCTAATCGTTCGGCGGAACTGTTGTCTTGGCAAGAACCATACTGCTTTTCTTTGTACTAGGAGTTTCATTGTCATGGTGAATGCTTTAATATACTCATATAGTAGTTATAATAATATATGAAATAATAGCTAAATTGCAAATAAAAATGTTGGCTTGATAACCCAAATTTAAATATCTGGTAGCATTCCTTGGGAGGTAAATTAAGTAGTTCATGACAATGAATACAAGCATAATCATATCATCTGCATCCAGTATTTGCATATGTATAACATACATACATATATGTATGTATACATATGGATAAACAGAAGTTAATATCATTAATTAGTCCATTCTCTCTGTGTAATGTAGGAGTAGCAGTCGAGATAGGAAATGCTTTTCAATCTTTCTTGATTATGTTCTAGTACTTTTTCATTATATATGTGACATATACATACACACATGTATATATATGTCACAGACATATACCGCATTCACGATTCACTAATTAGGAAATTTGAGAAGAAATAGAATAAGGATTAAACCAAAATGGTGAAAGATATTCATGAAAAAATAATTAGTTAAATATTCCAAATATTACATATTCCATGTTTTTGAACATGATTATTCTCATTGTATAAATTATTTTTAAGAGAAAAATATTAGGGACCACATGAAATACTATTGATGTTGCAGCATGAACATGAGCCGCATGGAGTTCTTGTCAGTATGTATATAATTAATTATTCTGCTTGAGGTGCAATATGCATGAATGCCTCCATACATTTTTCTTTTAAAAGGAAAAAAGAATGTATTATGAGTGCATTCATTCATTCATACATCCATACATACATATATATTTTTTAAAAAAATAAATAAGACAACCTTTATTGAAAGAGAATGGACATACATGCATGCATACATACATACATACACACATATATACATTACATGTATATATCAGTTCATAAGTGCTTAGTGTGTACTGAATGGACCAAATGCAGGTAAAAACTAGAATAATAATCGAGGAGTGAGATGAATATGAACACTCTCGTAGATGTTCCCCCCGGATTTCGATTCCATCCCACCGAGGAGGAGCTCGTTGATTATTACCTTCGGAGAAAAGTTAATTCAAGAAGAATTGACATAGATGTCATTAAAGATGTTGATCTCTACAAAATTGAGCCATGGGATCTCCAAGGTTGTGCCATGACTGAAATTCTTATAACTACAACGGATCAGTTTGTATTAATTTCATTCACATCTACATATATATAGTTGGCTTGAAACTTTTCCTTGACATATACATATTTAATTGAAAAATATTCAATTAAATTTGAACAGAGTTATGCAGAATAGGGACAGAAGAGCAAAATGAATGGTACTTCTTCAGCCATAAAGACAAGAAGTATCCGACTGGTACGCGCACAAATAGGGCGACCGCAGCCGGGTTTTGGAAGGCGACAGGCCGAGACAAGGCTATTTACTCAAAGCATGACTTGATTGGGATGAGAAAAACTCTGGTCTTTTATCAAGGTCGAGCTCCAAATGGTCAAAAATCAGATTGGATTATGCATGAGTATCGCCTTGAGACGGATGAAATTAATGGAACTCCACAGGCAAGTGAAATTTTTAAAACATTATAGCAATAAGAAACTAGTGTTTAATCTATGATTTATATGTGCACTAACACCGATTTAACTTTTGATATTTTTTCATATATGAAGCTAATTGCATATTGAATAGTGTGATTAATATCTAACATTATCAGTTTAAGCAGGAAGAAGGTTGGGTGGTTTGCAGGGTGTTCAAGAAGAGAATTACAACAATGCGAAGAGTGATGAGCGAGCACGAATCAGCTAGTTGGTATGATGATCAAGTCTCGATCATGCCCGATATCGACTCACCGAATCAAAGTAATTCCCAGTCGAATATTCTCTATCATATCCCCCATATTCCCTGCAAGAAAGAGCTTGATAATTTGCCCTACCAACTTCCCCAAGATCATCAATACTATCTCAGCCATCTCCCTCATCTAGAAAGCCCAAAACTCCTGCAATCTTCCCTAACCTGCAATTCACTCTCTCCATATCCAGATATTAACAATTCAAGCACATTAATGCCTTCCTCTTCGCTAGCACAAGATCAAGAACATTTTCAAGTCCAAATCCATGGCCAGAACTTGAATAATACTACTGCAATTCTCTATGGCAACGCCAGTGAGCAAGCACTGGATCAGGTCATGGATTGGCGAGTTTTTGACAAGTTTGTTGCTTCTCAGCTCAGCCAAGAAGACGTTTCAAAGGGAAATGATAATAATTTCTCATCGAATGCATCAAGTAATGTCTTGCATTCACCGGCAAACATTTGAATAAGCCAGAAATGATCATCACACCGCAAAAAGCTTTGAGTTTTAGTTGTCAGATCGATCTGTGGAAGTGAAGTGATTTATTCAAAACCCATATGTTATTAATCCAGGTTAATTACCAACTTTTGGAAAAGGGAATTTATGGTCTAAATTCCTGTACATAAGAAACCTAATTATTAAGGTATAGTACAATAACTTTAACAGTACTTCAAAGATTAAATATATTTTGGTTTTTTTCTTTTCTTCCTCTCCTTTTAAGTCTGGGAGGGTAATATATGAAAATTACTAGCTGGTGGAACAAAATATCACGTAACCATATATATATATATATATATGTTACATGATCATAATTGACCATGTATTTTAAGATCACATGTGGAATGTGGTTCTGAATGTTGCAGAAATTCAAGAAATGAAGATGCAACCTTTGTTTGAATTTAAGAATCTTTTTTTTTTTTTTTTTTTTTTTATAAAGACATAATTTAGATAAGAAGTACAGAAGCACTCAGAAGGGACTAAAAGCCAGACTCAATTGCCGACTACAAAATTTTTTTTCCCACCTCTAGAACAATCTTTTCTATTGGCTAATTTGAGATGCCTGTGTTGAGGAAGGAGTGAACTGTTGGGAAAAATTTTAAGAGATAAAGGTATTTTAAAATAATATTTTATTTAAATGAGGAAAAAGAAAGAAATATTAATAAAAAAAACTTAAAATTTTTATTTACGGTTGTTACTAATTTTTTTTTTTTTTTAAGTATATGAGTATAACAGACACTAACGTAACTCTTAAAATTTCAAATACGTGAGTCATAATTAAATCATGAACTATAACCATTTATTAAACCTCAAAAGACTTATATTGAAGTTTAATTAATGAATCATAACCACCTACAAAAATACCAAAATATACATATTTATAACCTTAACTTATTATAAAATAAAAAATTTTCTTATTTTACAAAATTATTATTTTTAACTCCTTAATAAGATAAAGAATCTCCTTAATTTGAAATATTATTATTTTTAACTTCTTAATAAGATAAAAAAAAAAAATTAATTTGTAAATTATTATTTTTAATATGAACTTCGTATGAAGATTTCGTTTAAGTTACGACATTTATCCCTTTTGTATATAGAAGAGAGTACCTTTCCTTTGCTCTCTGGCACTACATGATCATTGGTAAGCTTTAGATGTGTCCACTCATCCGATGTATGTTTATATTACTAACATGTTGAAGGTTATGAACTCTTATAAATATGACACAAGGTGCTTCTATAGAAACTAAATGGAGTTGATCAAACTCACCAATGTTGAAACATTTGGAAGATTCCAAGTATTAGTCGCAGCCCTTGCTTCGTTATGTCATTTCTGCATGTAATATATTAAATTAGAAATATAAAGTAAAATATCATGTCAGATCATATTGATGATAACATTCTTGTCTATATATTAAAAATATAAATTAAAATATCCAAATAGAATAGATAATAACCTTATCAACTCGAATTCCTTATTCAAATTGAAATCACATCAAAAGTACGACATGACAAGATGTAAAGAGGTGTCAATAAAACTACTCAATAAAACTACGTAAGGATAAATTTACAGATTTTCATTTGAATATTTGGGAATGACAGGAAGACTTTTGGTTAAATACCTCCAAAGGACCTTTTACCTTTATAGGATATTTGTTTTCCATAATTGTTTCTAAATCTCAGCAAGTCTCCCATCAATAATAGTCAAGTCCATTTGTGTTAGAACTTTATACCCATACTTAAATGAATATCTACCATTTAATGTAGATAATCTGATCCATTTGTCTATTTTTTTAGTACGAGATAATTTAATTTTTAATATTTTCATAATTATAGCTCTACCAAAGATTTTTAATAATGCTTGAGATTTCCATTGCATGTGAAGAGAATTAATGAGTTGACTCACCATTGTATACCTTGGATTCCTCAGGGATTTGAGAATATAACCAACCAAACTAAGAATCCACCGCTCAGTTCAGATTCTAGTGGAATTCCTATTCCTAATAGTAATGGACGCTCCTCGTTTCACCAAGTCTCTAGTTTTCAATAGATTCCTTAAAAAATAAAAGCTTCCATTTCTCTTAGGTGCAGAAAAAAAAAAAATCACTTAGTTCCAAATAATTAGTTTAAAAAATGAGACACAAGCTCATAGTGATGAGTTTTCAAGTTAGCTTCCCAAACCAAAGCCAAATTGAAGCATTATAAGGTTACGAAAAGCTAACCACCCACAATTTTAGGTTTAAATTAATCCAAGTGAAACCCCAATGTTGCCCTTCTTTATATTTTCACCATAATCTTCTACTTAATTTATCCACGACATCATAAGCTTTATGAGGAAGCAAGAAGGTAGACATGCTATAGGATGGAATAGAGTTCAAAACATATTTGTTAGAGTAGCATGCCCTGCATGGGAAAGGAGCTTACTTTTCCAGCCAACTAGCCAAGATACAAAGTTAGCAAAAATTCCCTCAAAAGCAGCATAACTAATTCTCCTCTATAGAAGTAGAAGACCCAAATATTTAGTGGAACACAGGCTTGTAATTCTAACTTTTTAACATTAGTAATCGTCAGTAAATAAAAGTTGATCAGTAGAATATTCATTATTAGTCACATTTATGCCTGAATTAGCCCATTTTTCTCAGTTTTATTAAGGATTCAAGATATAATCTTTATGTATAAGATAAACAGAAAGAAAAATAAAGGGTCTCTTGATCTCATATCTTTTACCAAATTTGTATACTTGTAAAAAATGTTATTGACGAGAAACTAATGTGATATAATTGTAACACCCTGTATACGTAAATTGATTATCAAAATTGAAAAGTCGAATTGAAGCAAGACGACTTATTTGAAAAAGGGTCATTCAACAAGACAAAAAAAAACTTTTGCAATGCAACATTTAACTATATAAGTATATTTATGTATTAGGTAGAACCCTCCTAATCCTTTATTTAATCTGTATTTAATTAATAAATTTAATTAGTTTGCTACCTTACTCTTCATTGACTACATTACAGTCATCATAGATATTCACCATTTTTTAGTTGCATGTATATTATATATAAAGATTATATATAATAAGTTTGTAGATTTGAAATTTTACAAATGCATTTTAAGACTTGAAATAACTGCATATATATCAACTATATACACATATATATATACATGCGTGTAGACATATGATATGAAATTATTTAGCCATTCCAAAGCAAATATAGAAAAAGAAAATACAAATTAATTTCATTGCTACGGGACCATGAGGAGTCTCTCTACTTGGAATTTATATATATATATATATATATATATATATAATGGAATATGATGGTATGTCTGTCAGAGGATAATAGACTGACGTTCCTATAAGAACGCTTTGCTGAGAAGTCTGGAAAAATGCAACTTATATTTATTATTCTTTTATTCGTCCAAAAAAATAAAAGTAAAATTAAACTTATTCTTTTCATGCGTGCAAGGCACACAAATAATCCAAACCAACTACATATATATATATATATGTATGTATAAGGTCTATAAGCTATATATATATACATACACATCCCAGAAAGGTAGCTACGTGCCATAGCCTCCTTCAAGTTCTTCCCTTTATCTGAGTCTGGGATTGAGGGTTTCAAAGTTTAATTGTTTATAAATATCTAAAAAAAATTTCTCAAGGAGCAAGGTGTATATGTATATATATAGGAGATTTTCAAAGTGTATATAATCCTAAATTTAAAACATCATCTAATTACAATTTTTTTTCATTAGTAATAAACAAAAATGCATTGCATAAAATCATCTAAAAGAACATTATTTTAACCTCTGTTCGGTCATAGAGTCAAACATACATCTATACATATATATATATATAACGAAGGTAAAAAAAAAAAATGATAAAATTTCAAAATAGCAGGACTGCAAATTGCATGTATACCACAACTTACCATAAAATTAAGAAGCCTGTGTTCCATTGAAAGCCAGAGGACGTTAAAGAAGGCAATATGTATGCATTAAGACTCAACAATGGCATGAGCTTCTGTTTTTCTCACACAATATACATACATATCTATATATACACACACACACACACACTAACAGAGAGAGAGAGAGAGAGAGAGAGAGAGAGAGAGAGAGGAAGAGAGAGATTCATAACAAGAACATGTTGGTATGAGTGTATATATATAGATCTGTATTGATAAATCTTTTAAACAGATGAGACTTAGATTGCTTGTGTTGAAGTCAAGCTTAACTTTTTAACTTTTAAGTAAATCAAATTTCTCCCAAAACGACACACTCATTCTTCTTAATCTTCTCTGCTTCATATTCCACATGCATAGAAGAGACATTTTACTTTGTAATATATTACCAAGTTTTGACTTGACACTGACATTTTACTTTCCAGTAATTGCTCCTACAATTTCTACTGTAATTGAGCAGACAAAGCGCCTTCTCCAGTGCTCGATTGATTCAGATCTTTGACTTTATAATAATTAATCAGTTTGGATCAATTTAATTTATAAATTCTTTTCTAAAAAACTATTTCAATTACTACAGTTTTTGAATCAAACTGGATCGGATTTCGTAATGAAATGAGGTAATGTTGGAATCCGGAGCTTCTATATATGTTAATTGGAGTATTTAGTTAGAGTAAGATTAGGGTTTTCTTAAATAAATGTTGTTTGGGAACTAAGAAAATGCAACATAATAATGATTTGTATGTTAGTGTGTTGTATCTTTAGAGGCAAGTAACTGTAACACATCTTTTTAACGTCCCGGCAAATTATATCCCTTTTTTACCTGCTTCGACGACAAACATCGACCTTTCTCGACATGTTTTCTTCTTTTATGGAACATGAAATTGAACATTAGGCCCCCTTGAATAATGACTCTAATTTTATCCATTTCATAACAGTGAATTCACCCATCTGGAAATTTCAAAGTTTCAGTGCAATTTTTGTTTGATTCCTGCATATTTAGCTTTACAAAATGTTCCCGAGTCAAATCAATCCCACAAGACCTAAGTTCTGTATTTACCTTCATTCCTAACATGAATACAAACACTTTTTACAGAACGAATTCGTTTGTCTTATCAATTTCAATGTACCTAGGTTAAACAAACTTGATCGCCAAAGAACAGTTTCTTCCATGAAATTTCAATAGTATTACTGCTTCAGTGATAATAATCAGTATTTAGATCATGATGGTATTACTAATGACTAGAAATACAAAAAAGGGATAGCTAAAGTTGAATCTAACTACAGAACTTTAAAAAAAAGAAAGAAAAAGAAAAGGCGACAATTACACACAGCCCACCAGAAGAATAAGGAAAAGTTGCAGATTACAGACTCACCAATCAGTAAAAAGGCTTATCTAAAAATAAAAACAAAAGAGAGCAATGCCATTAACATGCTAAGAAGAAACTTTGAGTTTCCACCAAGAATTGACATTGCAGAAGAGTGACTAGCCCTGCAGAAGCACCAGAAAGGGATAAGATGTAAGTCAGTCATCAATATAGTTTGGGAAAAAAGGAAACACTTTCTTTAAGGAGAGATTTAAGATATATACTTTTCCAAGCTTGCAAGAGCACCACAGTATATAACATTTGCCGGAGGACCCATCTCTGTCTCACCATTCTCCTCAGGGTTGATGATCCGCATATATGTTTCTTGACCTAGATACCATCTATCTAAGTTTTCTACTCTAAGATTCCAGACACCTGTATTATCGAGGGAGACAAGAACTGCTGTCCATGCACCAGGATAAACCTACAAAAAATTAAACAAGTTATTTGATGAAAATATAAATATGTTAAAAGAATAATGATAACCAAATGTTTCAACATTATCCTGTAATCATAATTGACTTGCATTTTGAATATGCATAAGTTGAAATGAAACAACAAAATTTATGTTTTCCCAAAGAAGTTAACCTCGTTAGCTAGCTAAAGAAGGCCTTAATACATATATATACATATCTTAATCAGCCATTAGGTCTTGATTTTGCCAAAATGTTATTTGACATGCACAAGACCAAGTATTTTACTAGATGACAAACCTCTATTGTGCTTCTTGAAATAGCATCCCATTTATTGTATGAGCCCCTTTTATCTTCTGTCCAGATACCAAAATCCATACTGCATTCAAGTTACTCGTTACCACAAATCTTGATGTTAAGAGCAGCAGAAAAAACATATTCTCAGATAGGAAGAACTTACCCGACCACAAAAAACGAGTAACCATCAATGTGAAAGCTCTGCATCCTTGTGTCATTGTTTTGCAAAATGACTTCAATGAACCCTTTATATGTAGCATTAATTACAGATCTATCAATCCGAGGAGGCCTATTCAGTGGCTTACTGGGGAAGTCCAGCTTATAAGCTCCCTTCACTTTCTGCACGTCAGCAAGCCTAAATGGGGTTTCTGGTTTGGCAAATGAGATGCCATTTAACGTAGCACGAACTGTACCATTGATTATTGCTGGGGGCAAACTCATCAGTATGTATGTGTCAGTGATGTTGATACGACCATAGGGATATGATCCTTGTGGGTTTGGGCGAGCACCACTTGCAGATGTATTTAGCCTGATGGATAAGATCAATACATTTTACCCTAGAAAAATTAGGCAACTTTTACAAATGCAGATAATAGGCACAGAGGATTCACCAACTTTTATATGATGATAGGTGCGTAAAGTAAAGATTTTTGAGATTGTTCCTTCCAAATTAGTTAGCCTATATTCACCACTTTTTCATCACTAGCAAATTGTCCTTACCCATCCTTCGTTGCTCTTCATCATCCAAAAAGTAACATTTTTTAAGAAGCATTCAATAAGTAACTTAAGAAAGAAAATTGGACCCAAGTGGTCGTCTCTGTACTCTACTACAATTGCCCATCACTCTAATGATCCAGTTTTGGAAATCTCAAAAAGCATTGCTTTTCCTTGTACAAATAAATGCTGATCTAAAACAAGCAATGACTAAGTTGATTATCGCTGGGGCCAAAATAGGGTTGCCCCCATCCCATGAAGTCTTTACTTCCCCTCTCTATGCAGTTCACGTAGAAGGATCAAATGTTACGGAGAGGAAAGAACTGTGTTAGTTGGAATGTTTTTCTTGTTATTAAAAAGGAACGCTAGAGTTTCAAAGACCAATTCCAATTTCCTTTGTTGCTGTAGAACAGATTAGTTTCTTTTTTCATATTTTTGTTAATAGACTGGACTTCCTTTTTTTTATTTCTTTTCAGAATATCTTCTGGTTTTAAGATTGCTGCAAGAGGATTCCTTGTCCTCTTTTTTGTATAATTGTCTTCTCTCTTCCTAACAATATTTTTCTTTTATTAAAAGAGACTGACGAGCAAGGAAAAGGTTGTATTATTTCATTTTCCGAATGGAAGTGGAAGAGATATCTAGCCCAGAGATCAAGTTCTGAATTTTAAAAACAAACCTGATTGCCCGTGGCTGACTCATAGCTGACCAAGGGTTATAAACATCAGTTCCAGGCTGGGGCAGAGGACCAGAAGCAGGACCTTTTGAATTAGAATAGTGCAAGATGGCAACACCTGTAACTCTTTGCCATACTGACTCGTTCACAAACCTGGCACTTGCTATAATGTAATAATCACTACTTGCATTCTGATCCATGGTAACCAAGAAGGAAGTAGATTGGCCCACATGAATATCAAAGCTAGTGTAGTTCTGTTGCACTGTATAATAACCCTCAGTTTCCACCAGAAGCATGTTATGATTCTGAATTCTGAAGTTTAAACTAGTTGAGATTCCAACATTGTGAACTCGAAGGCGGTATGTCTTTCCTGCAACAGTTAAAGCAATTGTTGGTAAATACTTCAAATTAATTAAACTTTTAGCCCTAATATCAATACCCTCTTGCAAGATCCCACCAGAAATATGAGACAGCCAATATTTGCAGGAAAATGGATCAGAGTGGAGAAAACAACTGAACTCAGTGGCACCAATTTCAGGAATTCAGCCAAAAGTGAAATTTCCTAAGTTCATATGGGATGTGAAAGGAAATTAGGTGCAGGCACGTACGCATCTAACAACCATATAAAAGCAATGTGCTACCAAGATACCAATTAAACGAATAAGTACTTGCTGCAAAATAGCAAATAGCAACGCAACATGATGCCCAAGAACAGTACCTGGGTCAACTTGAATAGTTTCATGCTCAATGCCTTCAGGCACAAGAGTGTTGTTGTACCTGTATGGTCCCTTCCCATTGATGAGAACTCCATCTGGCATCCCAAGGTCTTTTCCAGAGTCAAGAACTGTCCTTAGTGCCTGAAAATCCAAGGAGTTGATCATAGAAATTAATTCACACACTTCCATAAATATGAACACAAATAAATCAACCCTTTCAACAGCCACTAACCGTATGGTTTTTGGTATACCAGTCCCCAATAATGATGACAATATCGCCATCTGGCTGTGCAAAAGGAATAGGAATTATTTTCCGATTATTGATGATAAAAGCACCAAATCCACCAGATGCTCTCTGAAAATTAAGTGAGGGGAAATAGAAAAAGCTCCCAATCTGATCTTTGACTTGGAACTGGTAAGTAAAATTTGATTTTGGGTCAAGGGGACAATTGGTACCAAGAACACCATCCTGCCATGAGTTTCGTCTTAGTTGAATCCCAGGCCTGGCAGGACAATACATCCAAATGTTCACAAAGATAAATCTCAAACAAAATTTATTTTTCTAGTGGAGAGTATTGATATTGTCCAGAGAATTTACCATGTCAATAGGAGATTTTCATCTAATTCATTCCACACATTGACAACAACATTATTATTGGTAGTAGCATTAATCAGAGGACCTGGGAATTTTCCATTAACCGCTATAACCTGTGAGAAAAAGAAAATAAACAAAAATATCAAAACCTATAAGATCCTGAACCACTTCAAGATTACTAACTACAAAAACTTAACAGAACAAATCTCACTTTAAAAAAAAACACAAAAATCAAAGGCAGTCTTAATGGAAATGATTTCCATGAAAGGCAAATATGTTCATACCACCATTGCTTAAATTAGAGAAAAAATCATGTGAACAAAAATTCACAAGGTTGTAAAACAAATCAACAGATCAAATTAAAACCAAATTTTCCTGTGAAAAATGAACACAATATCTACACTAACTTATATCGACAATCCCATATTCTCCAGATATATATTGAAAATTCCATTGCAACAACCAGAATCAGCTAACCTCATATGAAACCTAATCCATTCCCAGATAACTAACCCATCTATCTGGTTCAACCACATGCTGAAATTCCGAGATATTACTTCAAACAAAACAGTGAGAAAAAGCGGCCATAGGAGAGCACTAAGCTAGCGACAGCACCTCAAAGCTGCCTTTTTAAGTTCACTAAAAGAAAAAACCAAAAAGAAAGACATAATAATGCAAAGAGAAGGCCGAAAAGATGATTACCCTAAAAGAAAAAATTCAGGTGTTAACATTTCCGCCCAATCTACTTTTTCAGTACTCTAACGTATGAAACTGGTTCAAATACAATCATAAAATTCACAAATCATAAAAAACATAAGCCAGGTAGAAACAGATGCAGTTTGAAGCCTAATCCACCACACAAGCACCAGAAGTGAAACTCAGTAACCGATCGACCACACAAAATACGCAAACCGCGTGTTCCTTCGAAAAAAAAAACACTAGAGAAAATGGGGCGAAAACGATAAACTCGTGTAAAAAAATCGCCTCAAACATCATCTAGGCTTGATAGTTTTTGAAACAAATACAGAATATAATAAAACCAGAACCGAAATCGTGTATCCATTTCAGAAACTTACTGACTAAGCGAAGAAAACTCACATAAGCGAAACGAGGTAAGTCTATACGATCAAACAAAAAATAAGCGAGACGGAGATTGAGAAGCAAACCTGTTGAAGAACACCGAGAGGGGAAGCGGTGATGTAAGAAACTTTGAAATCGTAAGAGATCGTGGGATCTCCGGCGAAACAGAAACTTGAAAACAGAGCAATGTAGATCAAAATGAAGATAGCAGAGTAAAACAGAGACATCATTTGGATTTGAAGGAAGGTGATTACTCTGATTTTCAAGGTAATTCACATAACCAGAGAACTAAAAGCCAGGAGTGTCAGTGAGTATTCGACTTGGAAAGAGAAAAAATAAGAAGAAAGACGACGGAGAGAGATGCGGGCCTTTAAATTTCTCTCTTGAACCGGGAGAAGACAACAAGCCAGACATCGCCCTACAAAATAATCTTTTTTGTCAACCGGGTGGAATTACCGATTACGGGCTAAACCGGTTGCGTCAACCATTCTCTTTTAAGTTTTTTTTTTTTTCAATGGAATTATGGGAAACAAAAATGGCCCATATAAATTTTTTATTAAAAAAAAAAACTCATATATAATTTCTTACCATTTTATATTTTTTTAAAGTTAATTTCTAATAAATTTTTGTTTTATTTTAGATAGTTAATAGATTATTTAATACAAAGTAAAATTTTTAAAATTAATTTTTGTTATTGATTGTTATTTAAATAATAATTTTAGAAGTTTCAAAAACATTCATCACTAAAGATCTTTTCATAATTGAATTATCAAAATAAAGATTTCATATATAAACCTAATAAAGTCTTAAAATACTTTACATTTAATTCAAAAAAAATTTATTTAATTGCTTATTTTGTAGAGAAATATCTGATTTAATATAAAAATATTTCTGAATGAACTTTTTAGGAATTAAATTATTATTCTTTCTTTTAAAAGAAAATAGAAATTTTTTTTTAGTTTAAATAATGGAGAATTTTCTTTTTCCATAAATATTTTCATTTATGACATGCTTTATTTCCAAAAAATAATTTAATGCTTTATTTTTACCTGATTTTACCGGTTATAACCGATGGCAAATGACATATAGAGCCACCCATATTTGCACAAGTCTCGGCGTCTCTGTGGGCTCACCCCTTTCCCAACGTTCTAATTTCCTGATAAAGCCACATTTTCACACGCACAGCTTCGTGGGTCCACTATCTGTGTGGGCCCCAGTTCATAAATTTAATTTTTTAATAATAATTTTATTTATTAAAACTGCTTTTTTAATTTTTAATTTTTTCCTTTTTCCAACATTCCTTTTCCCTCTTCCTTGAATTGAAACTGAAACTTCGGTCCCACGTGGAATCACCTGCATTTATCACTTTCTTTTTTTGCTGGATTTTTTTTTATTTTGAAAATAGAAAATTTAGCATAAATAAAAATTTCGAATATTTTTATTATAAAATTATTTTTTATTAAATTCAATATATTTTTTTAAGAAAATAAAAAACAAACAGAATATTAGAAATACATATCACTAGAATAAGATACAGTGGTAACATTGATTGAGAGATTTCTTTATAAAATCTTAATTTTTAACTCATTTCTTCTATTTATCTAATTATTATGTTTAAAAATTTTTAATTTTTAATTGATGAAAGACAGTTTAAAAAATAAATTTACGCTCCTTTTCTAAATGAGATGAGATGTCAAAGTACATTTAAAATAATCGAATGTGTTGCGAATTATTTTTATTATTTTATTTTAATTATCATAAAATACAATATAATTTATTTTAAAATTACTAACTCCATCAAAATAATTTTTCTTTTATAAATATTATTTATTATTTTAGATATTATTTAAGTTGACTTTAACTTAAGTGGATACAAAAAATAAAATATTAAGTTAGTGAATCATTTATTTTAATTGTTGAAATTAACAGTTTTTAAATAAAATCAATATATATATTAAGTTTTTAATAAAAAAAAATTTAATTATTTTTAAAAAATAATTCGTACCATATAAAATAAATAATATTTTCGATAATACTATTAATTTATATTAATACATTGCTAATTTAAATTTTAAAGAAAATATAATCTTATATTAATTAACAATAATTAAATATGTTAGCATTTTCCTTAATCACAAAAGAAAAAAAATAAAATAAAAGATAAATAGCTTTAGGAATATTTTATCGTATGTCTTAAAATATCCAACTAATCTCTTAGTTTGGGATGGGATGGTAATTGTCAATTTGGGTAATTAGAATTAGGTGGATTATTAATTAAGATCTTAATTAAGGTTTCACAAAAGGAATTTGGATTAATTTGTGGACCACTAATCAAAAATTTTATTAATTATATATATAGAACATGGTGTACCATGTACAGGCACAGACCCAATATGCATATATACACTATGCATATTGGGTTACCCACACTCGTCTCGTATCCTATATATATACATATATATATATATATGTATGTATATTCTGAGTAGAAACTATATGTATACATGTAAGAAGTTTTGTTAACGATCCAGATTAAATAATGCAAAGCTTGCAAAAAGGTTAACGTGGGTATAAACTATAAATTAACTCTTTAATTTCAAATATCAAGAAACAATTTAAAAAATAAAAAGCTTCCATAAATTATTCAAGAAAAAGGGTCTCCTACGAACCAAAAATTAAGCAACAATTGACTGCATTGATCCTGCCAAAGGGGATTTTAAAAAAAAAAATATTTCAAGATAAATGTGATAATTTAAAAATATTTATTATAAATTAACTAAATTTTTAATCAAAAGTATATAATTTGATTTAGAAAAAATAATTATACCCATCAAAAACCACTTTTACCCATATATATATATATATATATATATTAGTAAGTTGATATAGTAAGATGTATTACAAATAGCTCATGGAAATTTCAGTGGGTTTGGCTTTTCAATTTACTTTGGCTTTGGTTTATGGGACCTTGCTGAGTACTTCACAGTTTGATTTGGGTGTAAAGGTAAAACCTACCAAACTACATTCAGTCTATGTTTAACCTTCATTCCAAATAAATCAAGAATTAATTTTCGTATACTTATAAAAGTGAAATCTATGATAGTTTCAAAACATTAGTAGGATTCGATTCGATTCGATTCAATTCAATTCACAATTGGGTAAGTACAAATAGAAATATCAAACACGTTCGGTTTTATATATTCGGATTCCATTAATTAAAGTCATATTTTCTTAATAACTTTTTACACAAAACGAGAATATGAAAAGGGAAAAAAAAAATACTTTTATTGAATTATTTTATTTTTAATAAATTTACAGGCTAGACAAGATCAAAATTCATGTAACCTCAGAATTTCTTTTTATCATTTACCAAAATCAATAATATGGGCTGGGCCATTTTGGCCCATATTAGTCTGGACATCGTTGAGCAAATGGGCTTTTAGATTGATGCCATTCCTTGGACGTTTCAAAAAGAAACGTGTAATACAGTAGGCTCCGTTGTTGTGCGCTTAAAATTGTGTGTAAGGTTAAATTTAATCATATGGGAAGGGATGAATGAAAGCAGAATTCATTTCCCAAACTTTAACCTTCGCCCTCACATTAACCGTCGTTGCATTGTTAAACAAGAAGAGCCTTGCGGCTCCATAGATTGCTTTTGTTGGGTAAATCCGAGATGTGATCGCCGTCCTCCCTCCTTGTCCAAAGCTTTCCACAATTGAATGATCAACCTGAATAATCATCATTAAACTTCCGCAGGTTATATATATGTACATATTACACACTCAAAGTTTTTGCAGAAAGAAAACAGAAACCCGCATACCAGCACTCTCATGGTTAGTTTCTCATGTTTGAGAACAGAAACCGTGCTTCCATAAACCCTTTTGAACACATCGGGGGCCTCAGATGATCTGCATATTCAAATCTTTCTATTATAAAATTTTTAATGATACAAACGTGATTTGATCAGTATCATCTAAAGGAAAACCGAACCTTGTTTCATCGGCACAAAAATATGTTCTAAGAGAGCCATCAGTGGTGTTCGTAGGGCGGAAAAATACTGGAGTCAGCTCAGAGAGTCTCTCATCAGCATTAACCAAGAGACCGAAAGGACCTAAGCTGCTCCTATCTACTGCACCACCACCCTTGCAACTGTAATCTCCATTTGGGTCATGTATTATTTCTCCCACTGGTTCTGTTTCAAACTCTGCAATTATATCTAGCTGCAAATATATATAATTCTATGAGCTCATATTTCATAATGCTACAAGACTCCAGCAATAAAAAGAAGAAGGTTTAAGCACAGACCTGTGTTGCAGGTCCAATGTCGAGCTGCATGATGGATCCTGGAGACACAATAACATCATCAAATACCGTACTGTTCAATCTTAGACTTTCTACTTCCTCCACCGGCCATTGGAGAATATTTCTCCCAGTTTTGTTGTCAAACAACACCGTTCTTGGGATTGTCTGTAAGTACATGCCAATAAAATAATAAGTTCGTTCTTACTACTATTACATATATATATATATATGGATATAGAATGTACCTGAACGGATGCCCATCCTTTTTTAACATCATTAGCTTCAGTATCTGTCTCGTTAATCCAACCCCATAATATCCTTCTCTTCTTCTTCGGGTCAAAGAATGTTTTAGACGCGTAATATCTTCCATAATCTATCTTCAACCCTTTACCCACATCCTCATTCGGGTTATCGGGTATCCATTTATCTTCTACAGGGTCGTATGTTCCAATTGCATAAACATCCTCCTTAGTATCATCCAAGCTAGCCTTTAACACATGCTTGATTCCGGCTCCATTAGCTGAAGTATCCAACCCAACCGACCCGTTTGTCGCCACTGGGTAAAAGTCTACGCACTCCCACATACCCGTACCCGGAACTGCATGCAAGAACCCTTCTAGTAGCGTGTAAGTGGTGAAGTTAGTAGTTTGATACATGAGTGAAATTCCTGTTTTATTGACTTTTGAACCGATTGTGATTCGCCAAATTCCGTCATGGCCGAGCCATGCAGTTGTCGGGTCGCGAAAATCTTTGAGTCCGATACCCGGCGGAGGGACCATAACCGGGTTGCCGGGGTACTTGACCCATTCAAGAAGGAGAGGATCAGATAGGTTGGCGGGATATGCAAGGTTTTGCACCTGCACCGAATCGACAGTATCACCGGTGTACAGCATCATGATCTGACCATCAGGAAGGATAGTGGCGGACCCAGTCCAAACACCGTTGATATCGTACCATTGGTCTGGGACCATAGCGATTGGGAGGTAGAGCCAATGAATCAGGTCTGTTGATACAGCATGGCCCCACGTGATATTTCCCCATACGGCCGAATCAGGATTGTATTGATAAAAGAGATGGTACCATCCCATGTGGAACAATGGACCTGCACCCACCAAATAATTACCCAAAACTAATATTAGACCTGAGCATGGTCACATGCCATTGAGTATAGAGTAATTTTCGTCAGCTTCTTAACTTGATTGCCCAACAAGTACATATATATATATATTCTTCACTTAAATTTAATAAATATAAATTTCTCAAATTATTATTTTCAGTAAATCCTGAAGTACGCAAGAACCTAAAAAAAATTTCAAATATTATAATATATATACTTTATTGTAAATAAAATTAAGAGAAAAAAAAAAGAGACGTACCATTAGGATCTGAAGCAGAAAACAGCCGACAAAAGCGAACACCAACAAGAAGTGACAAACAAAATTAGATCAGTACAAAAAGCAACTGACTGATTATATATAATTAAATATAAAATATAATATATGTAATAATAATAATACTAATAATTATAATTGCTTAATGAGAAATTTCTCTGGTTCGTCGCCTACCGTTCATCCAATTTCTTTCAGGTTGAAAATGGTAAGCCGTTCTTTGCCAAGACAACATGGCATTCGTCCAATTAAACGACGCTTCATGACCCGACAAAGCCGGGTTCGATTTGGCCGAGACACCCTCCGCAACCCCTCGAGCCCTCAAAAACGACGTAGTTTCCGGCGTCATAGACGACAGGGGAATAACATTGTACTCTTTGTTCGATGTGGGAGGCAGTACAACTTGCTTCCTGGTTTGGTCAACGATTAACGCCGCCAGAGAAAATAGGAAAATGACACATGCAAAGATCATAGCAAAACCCTTCAAGGGTAGTCGGAGAATCGCCGGAGATCCTTCAGCAGATGGTCGGTCCGGCAACGGAGCGTAGGGTGGCGCGCGATCATCTTCAAGGTCATGGGCTTGCTTAGTGCCCATTCTTCCTTGTGGTGGAGTGAGAGAAAACAAAGAAGAAGAAGAAGAAGAAGAAGAAGATTACGGAAGGCAATTGATCGGATTTAATTAAATAAACCAGAGAAAGAGATAATGATTATTTATTATGCGTTATAATAATAACAATAATACATACGTACATACATTATATTTACATATATATATATATAGATTTATATACATGTATATTCAATGCCTTGTAAAAGAAAGAACCCGGTGGTTTGTCCAGGTAAGTTGGAAATCACGTGGTTTTTTTTTTTTTTTTTTTTTTTTTTTGTTTTCGCAAAGTAGAAATCCTATAGTGACAGTTTGGCTCTTTCTTGGCTCATCATATTCAAGATTTACCATATAATTTTCGTATCAGTTAATATCTAATTATTAGGTTTTAACTTTAATAATTATAAAAAAATAATAATTAATTTTGAAAATTTTACTTATTTTATACTTCTTTTCCATCAAGTTATATTTAATTAACACACGATTTAATACAATCAATTTGGTGACTCCTTAAGCTTTCGTGAACATTTCAACGATCAAGAAGGAGCTCATGTCTGAGCTTCTTACCTTGCAGTCAAACCTAAATATTTTGTTTATTTAATATTAAATAAGAAGAAAAATAAAATTGAGTATGAAGGAACGTGTGGAGAAAAATAATAATTTAATTAAAATTAAAAAAATAAAGAGAAAATGAGTGATGCTTACGCTTCTTCTTGTGACAAAACTTTCGCTTTTCACCTAAATTTTCGATTAGTAATTAATTCTTAGATTTCAATTAACAATTTGGAGGTTTAAAATATAGATGTTGATCTACCCAACACAAAGAAAATTAATAATCCAAAAATTAAAAAATTAAAAAAAATACATAAGAAGCAGAAAAATTTTAACAATATATTATTGGTCAAGTCAAAATTATTTTCTACTAACGATTAATGGGTATTGGGGATTAATTTGGTATTATAATCTTCATTAAGAAATTTATTTTGTGCTGTGACAATTAATGTAATATTTATTTTTTATTTTTTAAAAGTGAACTAATTATTTGGCGGACGGTGGTAATGTGAAGAAAGCCCACGGTGGCAGAACAACTTTACATTTAATAAGAGAGGGGGGGGTGGGGGGGGGGGGGACGTGGCATTTTGAGAATCACAACAGTTGTTTGATAAATAAAGAAGTTGGGTCACGGCTGCATATTTGAAAAGTACAATCAACAATTATTTATTAATGGAGGGAAACCCAATGTAATAATACACACGTATATATGTTTTATTAGGAATGATTAAATAGGCAACAAATGAATTATTTCGTTTTAAGTATCATGATTTGGGCAAACGCGTCTATCTTAACTCTTTTCTTTTTTGACACGATATTTTAGTCAATTCGAAATTATTGAAAGACTCTAGAGGAACATAAAAAGGATTGGTCCGTGAAATATGAACCATAAATTAAATTTTAACGTACTTACGAACCAGACATGCAAAAAGCACACACAAGACAACGTTACCCAAAAAACAGAGCACAACCAGAAAAATCTGCAGCATAAAATTGGAAGGTTAATTTTTTGATCTGGTAATGGAGTTTTGCAATCATGAACTTAAATTCTGGGTTTTTTTGGTAACAAAGAAACCGTTTGATATTATTTCGTAGAGTTTAATAACAACATGTTTTGTATGACACAACTCTAGTTACATCTCTTATTCAGCATTTCATATAGTTTATAAGTGCAGAAGCCTTGGGATCCACAAAGGTTATATGACAAAATGGGAAAGGATAAGAGGATCATAAATTCATGCTAGTGACAAGACAAAATTGACCTTTCCGAACAATAGACAAGAGGAATTAAATATATATAGATGCGTTAACGTATCCAACAGAATAAACAAGTACCCATATTTCTTATGTATACCCCTTCAAAAGGATCTAACTCCTGACCAAAAATGATGGAAAAGAGAGAGAGGTAAATGAATGATCAATAAAAACTCTGGGACATAATTCCAGCCTTAGAACCAATAACAAAGATGATTCAAGCAAGGAATTTACAATTGAAGACAAGAAGCTTTGAACCCATACAGATGCACCATTGCTGCAGACCTTGAATAAAAAAGTCTTCCGATGCCACCATGCTCCATAACCTCTTGTGTCAATACTTCCTAAGTAATGAATAAACATATAGGCTATCCTCTTGTATTGTGTGTATTATAGTATTCTTCCCTTATCTATTATTATGTATGTCATTGTTCACAGAGCACTTGATTTCTTCCACACCACTAGAGCTTTTAGAAACTCCATAACCTGGAAAAAAATTAGCAAGCACTTTTAAAGAATAACTCTACAGATAATAAAAAAAAAAAAATACAAAAACCAGTTCCCCAAACATATAACTTTTAGTTCATGATACAACAGCAATTACTCCCTAAATTAATTGCTTCAAGATAAACAAGCACCTCTGAAGGATCACGGAGAGAGTAAAATGCATTGCTTTCCTTGGGCACAGATGAGACTAAAATCCCATATCCACGATTATTCTCCCTCAACACCTGGTGTATGTCCAAATTTGATGTTTTAGATGGCAAAATAATCAAAAGAAAGAACCCATCCAATGAGTAACTTGGAAAGTTTATACACACCTTAAATGCATCTTCATCTGTCCGGTCATCTCCAACATAAATTGGGAGCACATCATCACAGTTGCTAAGTCCTACAATGAATTTTTTTGATTGTCGTGTTATTGAAATTGGGGGAAGATGGTAATTAAACATGGCAAAAACTAAAAGAATATTCACCAATTGATTCTAGCAAAAATGTGACTGCTTTCCCTTTATCCCAGTCAATGACAGGTCGGACCTCCAACACGTAATTCCGAGGTCAACACAAAACAAAATACAGACATCAGAAGAACTTCAACTAAAAATAAGCACTTCTATTATTGCACATATGTTCAAAAGATTACCTTTCGCCCGTGAGTTAATCGCAGACGTGAATAGTCTTTAATCACATCATGGACACAGTGAGCAACTGTTGCCCAGCTCTGAAAACAAATTTAAGAAAGAAATTAAAAAAAAAAGACAGATGTTCGTGACTCAACCCATTCAAACAAATAGTATAGAAGATGAATAGTTATCGGACACATTTAGTGCCCAGCATCTACCTTCTCCTCTACATTACGGTAATGAACAGAAACACAGAATTTATTATTCTCCACTTTTGCTCCTTTAATATCTTTTGTACTTTCCACAAGCGAGTGAAAAACCTGCTCGATAACCAAACATCAAAATAATAAATTATAAACATAGAATGAAAAAAAATTAAAAACAATATTTGTCTAGCATAAACCACGCACCTCATCAATCATAGGTAAAAACTCACTAGCAGGCTGGAACAAATTAACTTCCTTCCCCTATGTTCAAAAGAATTCAGATAACATTATTCAATAAAAGACCCAATGACTAGGAAGAGATACGGAGACAAAGTTTCTAAGATATTTTATCAATAAATTACCTTCTTGTCAGTGGATCTCAAACAGTTTGGATGGTCACCTGATGCAGATTCTCTGACCGGACCCATGATATCCATTCCATGACTCCCTGCATAGTAGAGTTCAGTTAACCCTACAAATTCGTATACCTGAAAACAATAACAGCAAAAATAAGCATTGGCTCAAAGCAAAACCACCAAGGAAAATTGATATATAAATATAATTTAAAGAAGGCACTAAAATCACATTACATCCTTATTATGGCTATGTTTGGATCAAACGAACTTAATTCTTCCAACTTCAATGGAGCTTAAAATATATTCTCTCAATTCCATAAGTATTTTTATATCACTTTACAGAGTTAAAATAAGTAAAGATCTCCAAATTAGTTCTACAAATGAAGTTCGTTTGTCCCAAATATGGCCTATGTAAAAGAAGGCAGCCAATATACCTTGTCACGGCTTCTTCCACTAATTATGGCTGTGGGGAAATACTTCGCCACATTTTTCACCGCAGCACGCATCTAAAGAGGTTCAAGGGCCTTGATTAGGATGCATAAAGAATAAAAAGAAGAAAAGTCAAATATTTATCTCAGAGCTGCATAAGTTCTTACAGCACTGGACATGAATGCGCAGTCAGGATTATCTACAATTGGTGAAAGTGTCCCATCATAGTCCAGAAACAACGCTATTCTCTTTCCTTTCGCATAGTTTGCGATTTGCTCAAATGATCTAATTGCTGATGGATACTTAAGCTGAGTAATCAGAAAATAGAAAATGAACAGGAGAACATGTAAGTAATTCATCTAGGAAGTTCTGATACCCAACAAAACAATGCCATTTTAAACTGAAAAGAAAAATGATTACCATCCACGTGCAGTAAGCAACATCAGTATCAGTGGATGAAAGCTCACTGTTGAAATCCTTGGTTATTTTCTTATGCGGAGGAGATGAGGATTTCATGGCATCAAGCCAACCACTGGCACGAACATCATCAAGTATTCCAGTTTTCTTCCTAGGAACTGTTAGGATTAGATTTTGTGAAAAACCGGTTCCCGGTGGTGAGTATGGCAACAGATTGGAATGAACACCCAGTCTTGACTTGCTTAAGGGAGCAGAATCGGTAATAACCGGAGAAGTATGATTTGATTTCAGGTCCATTGGATCCAGATTTGCACCAAATTAGCAGAGTAGAAACCAAGAAATATTTAACTGCAGTCTATCCACACAAACACAGAAAATTTGTCTCAATCTTCTGTCAAAGATATCTATTCACCCAACCCTTTTGTCGATGAAGAACCACCTCTTTAAAGTATTCTTGTCACTACTGTTTGGCACACAGTCCATCAAGCACAATCCTTCTGAATACTAAATGTTGAGGAATATTGTCAGAGAGGAGCAAATAAGAACCATATCCAGATACTCACCAAAAGGAAATAACTTTACCTGCACTTTGTCATCTCCCAAGTCATCGTCAGTCAATCAGCTAACAGAATATTATGTTCCACACGTGTGATTCTCAAAAGGAAAAAAGCGACGTTCCTCTCAGTGAGAATGTAGCAAACTCAATGCAATGTCAAAGAAAGACCAAGTACTTGAAGAAGCTGATACTGCAAGAAAACAGATTGACTTAGAACCTAAAATTATGAAAAGAACTACACATACCCAAGCAGGTGATTACAAAGACAAATTAAGATTAGATACAAATGTATGCACGGATGACTAAAGAGAAAACAACAACAACCTTTGGGAATTCATCATGAGTTCTGTGAAGACTGATAAGAACATAAATGGCATGAGAATAAGAACAGTAGCAGCTAAGCCAAATTAATCCATCAACCAGAAAATCATGGAATCTAAGAACTTCTACAAATTTGGTAAGGATTTCTGGACCAGCGACCACTATCTAAAGATTCAGTGAAGGAACAAAGTATAGTTTTCCAGTTTCTGTCATATTGAACTCTTCCATTTTCTGTTTAGTCTTATTCATACAAGACCAAGTTAGCTCTTCACCAAAATAATCTGCTCAAAATTGATTCCAATATGCTTTTGTACAGTTACAAAGCATCTCTAAGTCATGTTTTGGTTGCACTTATTCAAGAAAAGTCTTGGGAACAAAGAACCTTTTTCATTCAGCTGGTGAACAAAGAACCTTTTTCATTCAGCTGGTCCTAACAATTTAATATACCCAGATACTGCTTCATAATTTGCTTAAATTTTCCATCACAACTACCATTTTTATGCATTACAGGAATATACAATGTACAATCATAGAGCATAAACTACAAAATTAAAAAATCAAATCCACTATACATGGGAAAAAAAACAACCAACATTGATTGATTGTCAACTGATTGAAATGCCATACACCAAACATGGGCCTGAAGTTTATCAGGTATTTGAAACAAATGAAATTTGACACTGATGCAATAAGTGGTGAATCACCTTGTTAGGTTTTCTATAAATGTGTTGTTGGCGGCAACCATAATGATAGAGATGGTAAAGTAGCAAAATATGAAACACAAAACTAATTTTTATAATGGTGCAAATCCCAGAAATATGACTCAACAGAAATTTCCCGTTGTTTCTATTACCATAAAGCAAGGATGTCTTAGTGTCCATATATGTCTTATATTGTGCATTGTTATTGGCCATGTTTACCATCTCCCTCTCCAACAGTTGATAGAAACCAAAATATTTAATGACATCACATGCTAGTGATAACATAAAAAATGCAAAAAACCATAAGAAGTTTACATCACCCATTCTGTTCAACTTCGTAAAATAATAAACAAATATAACAGTATCATACATGAATTAAATAGCATTGTTAAACTGTGACGAAAGGAGACGCTGGAAACTTAACTGTTAATCAAACATATCATACATAAAGTTAGATGAAACGTGTACAGAAGTATTGCATGAAAGAAAAAAAAAAAACCTAAATCAAATTACAAACATTTAAAACTGGCCCACGGAACTGATATCTGGTAGAGAAAATACGAGAAATAAATAATTGTGTATAATAAAAATTACCCTACCCCACAATAGTGGGGAGGAAACTGTAGCCTATGCAAGCACACATCAAGGGCCGGCGGGGAAGTATGGGAATCATTAAAATCACGGACCCAGCACAGAAAGATTCAGATATGACATTGACGCTAGGATTGCAAAATTCATAAACCACCACACCTATGTTGCTGTTGTACATCGCAGCGAGGAGTGCAATATAAAAATTTTCAAGAAAAAGTTGAGAAACATAATACTTCCTATAAAGGCAAGCTTACAGTTTGAACAATAGTAAAACTAGGCCCCTGTTAGCAATACCAACAAAAAATCAAATATAATAGTGAAATCAACAATTCCAGAGGCCAATGTTATACCAAGGGAAAGTATGACTTTGTAGGATGAAATTTTCTCCCCGCGCTATTTGTAAATAATTTAGTTGATTATGACTTGAAAATAGACATTTGACCATCCACTCCTATTGTAGGGCACAGGGATCGACAAATCATTAAGAATAAGAAATCAAAGATGAAATCAAACACGATATCACATCAGCTTAAGAAAATACAGCTCTAAAGCAAGATTAGAACAGATGTGGACGTTTCCGTTTTTGCGGTTAGGGAAAATAAAAACTGAACAAACAGAACAAACCAATATTGCAGCAATCAGCCAAAGAGGACCATTTTTTTTTTTTTTTTAACCGACATCAAATGAAAAGTTTTATTTTAAAAAAGATTCAAAAAGATTTAAGGTGCCATCAGAAATTAGATTTATATATCAAAAACTTTCGAATCGAGGAATCGACGGCGAAAAAATTAAAACACAATAAGGAGCAAGAAAAACAATAATTTTCTCATAATATGATTTGTGAAAGATTACCATCTCTGGAAAATCATGATACAATAACTAAGAGCTAAAGTCACTGATTGTGCCAAGTATTTGAAACAATGAACTCATTCATCCCGGTTATCAAGTTAAATGAGAAGGAAACATCTATAGCATATCTGAAACAACCATCGCAATAATCAATAGTCAACACAATAAATCATCAAAAAAGAATTAGGTTGGGACTCTAATGCACCTAATTTACGAGCAATAAACCAAACAGGAAAGCAGAAACCAAACAAGAAGCTATCTTCCAAATGCAGGTACCTTCAAGGACATAGCCAAAAGAAACAGAACTACGAATAGAGAAAAGTCAGCAGCTGAGTAATGAATAAAATGAATCAATAAAAGAAACAAATGCACCGCCAGGAAGCTGAAAACTAAAAGGAAAACTCAGTCAATTTTCCTTCTCTGCTTTCTCGCGGTTTCCCGGCAACCAAACGGAAAAAGAAAACGCGAAAAGCTCGAGAGAATCGGAGAAAAAAGGAAAAGAATGTTGTACTAACCTAAATTGGCAAGAGAAACGGCAGCGAACTAGAAGCAAGCGAAAACGTATGTACCGAATCGACGAAAAGAAATGAAACTGGAGAGAGAGAGAGAGAGAGAGAGAGAGAGAGGGGGAAAGAAGAAATGCTTTAATTAGAAAAGAGGGTATTTATAGAGTTTTGATTTCGATGAAAACGTGCTTTACAAAGTAAACTCCGGGTTGTTGAATCGGGAAACAGCCTCCAAAAAATAAATCGGAAAATAAATTCCCCACTTTTCTCATAGGTCGTGCGATACAGTCGCCAAGGACAAGACGCGTGAACACTACGTCTTCGGCTTCAGCGCGTTACAATTTTGCTCGTTAATGTCGTTCCGATGAGCATTACCGAAGCTTCTTGATTTGCTGGTTACGTTAAGGAGCTAATTTGGGGGGGGGAGAGTATAAAAACGGCCAAACAGCCGGGACCCACATGAATCTCGTGAAAAAGTTTACACGTGGCAGTTAGACTTTGCGGCCTGAGCGCGTGAAGACACCTGTGATCGACTCGGGGCTGATGTGGCCACGTTTACTAGCGGGGCCCTCCACGTACGTGCTGGACTAGTTAGGGATGTACCGTCGCTTTCAGTCACAGCTGGGTGGTCGTCGGTCGGTGACGGTCATTGCTTGAATAATAACCAAACATGTGGTCCCACGTGGCAGGAGGTGGGCCCCATGCGCCAAAGAAATACTAGCCTCACGATTTGATGAGAGGGCAACAGAAAGTGGGTCCACCCTCGTGCGTGGATGATATCTATAGGCACGAAGATAATCCATGTGGCAGCCCACGACACGTATCGAGTTTTTATTGGGTGAGAGGACGCTGTCCAAATCAGCGACTCACGTACCTTAGCCTTTTCTATATGTATGTTTGTGTCCGCGGAGGCACCTTCAGATAAATCAAACTTATTGAGAATTTTTTTTTTTTTTTTTTAATGCGAATTCTTAATTCTAAATATTAAAAAAATAATAATAATTTGATTCGAATTAAATATTTAAATTCTTATTTTTCTCAACCCCAAATTTCTATTAACAGATAAAATATTTATATCCACAAATTATTTAAAGTAAAAAGACAAATAATCCATACCTTTGCTTTTTTAAAAAAAAAATTAAAATAAATTTACCACGGAGATGTGAACTACCCAGTTCAAAGGAAAGCATTATATTTAATTATTGCGCATGTAGTTTGGCAGGCTTTTTTTTAATAAATAATTTTGAACGCTAATTAATATTTAATTATTTTTTAACGAAAACTTTACAGCTTAATTTATTATTTTATTATTATTATTATTATTATTTTGGCCGTTGGGCGGTAAATGCTAATGGTCAAGTAATTATAATAGTATTTTCGGGTATCGGTCATGAGAGGCTTCGTGTGGGCCCAAGCGAACCCGGAGAGAAACAGAAGAAGGTTGAATTTACTGGGTCAAAATAACAAAAAACAAAAACTTTATATTGAAATTTCTCATATAATAAATAAAAATGTAAATATTTAAAAAAAAGGGTAGTTCGCAAGAGTGCTTCGGTTTGTGGTCAAAGTTTGACTATTGTTTATATAATAATTTTGGAAACTTCCTTTACAGCTTGGAAGGAGAATAATTTTGAGTAGCGTTGTAGGAAATTTCTTACTACGGAATTAAAAATCAAAATTTTTGACTATATAATATTTTAATTGTTACACGAAAATGTTTGTTTAATTTTTCTAACTCATTTACGCATAAAGTTAATGAGCAAATCAACTTGACTTTTACACCGAGGGTGGGAGAAGACTCGAAAGATGCCAAAAAGTTAATCGGTGGAGAGGGCTCACCAACATTTTTCAATGTACGTTAATTAAATGAAAATATAATAATAATAATTTATTAATTAAATGCTAAATACTTACACTTGTTTTTTTTTTTTTTTTTTTTTTTTTTTTTGAAAGTTCAAATTCGTGTCATGACTTTTATGTTATATTAAAATATATATATATATATACACAATGTTATTATTAATGGGTACGTGACAAATAATTAATAAAATATATTTAATTCGAAAGGTTTCGGTGGTAATTAAGATTGGGTGAGGTGGGGCGCACGGGGAGATACGTGTTGACGTGATGTTAAAGTCAACAATTGAAAATAACTGATGGATCTGGGCTTTGTTAGCTTTTAATCATTGATTCATGCGTCATCTTCACCGCGTAATTTTCTTTTTTTTACTAATCTATTTTTTTTAATCTTATGTATTAAATTATAATCCAGTAAGGTAATTTGAATATAATTTTTATTTTATATATTTTATTTTTAAATCAAATAATGAATATAAATTTGAATACATATCAAATTTGCTAAATGACTGTGATGCAATATGACAGGCAAGCTATGGTGATAGCTGGCTCAAGCCACTCTATTTAACTTTCGGGCATTAAGATACATTTTAGTCGTTGATAATTATCATAAGAAATTTTCAACATATAATAAGATTTTCGTTATTAAAAA